TCAGGGTTGATTTCCTTCAGAATGGATAGGTTTGATCTCTTTGCAGTCCAGGGGACTCTCAAGAGCCTCCTCCAGCACCACAGTTCAAAAGCATCAATTCTTCTGCAGTCAGCCTTCTTTATGGTCCATCTCTCACTTCCATACATCGCTACTGGAAAAACCATAGCTTTGACTATACGGACCTTTGTCGGCCAGGTGATGTCTCTGCTTTTTAAGATGCTGTCAAGGTTTGTCATCGCCTTCCTTCCAAGAAGCAGGCATCTTTTAATTTCGTGGCTGCTGTCACCATCTGCAGTGATCATGGAGCCCAAGAAAGTAAAATTTGTCACTGCCTCCATATCTTCCCCTTCTACTGTATTTGCTAGGAGGTGATGGAACCAGTGGCCATGATCTTGGTTTTTTTTTTAATGTGGAGCTTCAGACCGCTTTTTGCGCTCTCCTCTTTCACCCTCATTAAGAGATTCTTTAATTCCTCCTCACTTTCTGCATTCAGAGTGGTATCATCTGCATATCTGAGGTTGTTGATATTTCTTCCGGCAATCTTACTTCTGGCTTGGGACTACTGTGCATAAGAAGCACCAATTTGCATCTGGATTGTGAGGAGCTGTAGTTCAGGAAGAAAGCACACATGCAGAGAAATCTGTTTCTAGAAGGAGTGCTCCCTCACAAGGAGAGACACTTATGTAATGGTGGAAACACGTTGAAAGGGGAAGGACAACATGTGTCACTGTGCTTGCCTCTGGAATATACACAACAAACTTTTTCGCATCCCTAATCCAAAGTCAACAACTGTGCCCCAGGTTCAGTCTCTGGCATTTCCAGGTAGGAACAGGAAAGAAAAAGACCCCTGCTGAAATCTTGGAGAGCCATTGATGGCCAGTTGTGAGCCATCATCCACCATTGATGGCCAGTTGTGAGCACATCCATCATATTGCATGGAGAATGTGGAGAATGCCAAAGAGAGGGCTGATGTACATCACCAACCATTTGAAGCAATCTTCGTGGTTCACAAAAAGATGTGCATATCACCTGTCCAGGAAGAGGAAACTGTGCACATTTCCTGCTCTATAGAAGTTGCCTCCAGCAGGTCCCAACATTTGGTGTTGTTTCTGTTGCATTGGGAGTTATGCCTTCCCCGCTGCTCAGCTCTGTGATTAGAGATGGTTTCCAGTTGAAACAACAGCCCTCTTCAGGCACCGTGCGGATGAGTGTGTTGAGGGCTGCCCTGGTAGCCGAGCAAATAGAGATGCACAGGAATCCCACCCTTCATCCACCCCACCTGGAAGTCACTCAGATCTTCAAGCTGAATGGAGTCACATTTGTTCCTGCAATGGACATCACACTGACAGAACTCCTGCAGTACTGATGTCCTACAATCCCTTGAACTGCACCAGGGAGACCTCTCATCAGACTTCAGATCCCAAAGAACAGATACATGACCACGACCCCTCATCCAGCTTCAGACCACACAGAATAGATCAATGGTTCCCCATCTTGGGTCTCCCAAATGTTTTGGGACTGCAATTCCCAGGAGCCTCCACCTCTAGTTCTGCTGTCCAGGGTTTCTGGGAGTTGCCATCCAAGAATATCTGAGGACTTAAGGCTGGGAACCACTGGAACAGATCCATGACCAGTGAAGTCCAATCAAATGCCTGCACCTACATAAGGTGGGTACACTCTGGATTTGTTTGTGTTTTTCCCCCTGGTAACACAACAGGCTTCAGGCTTCTTATATGGTACCTTCTATTCCCATCGGTCCTTAATTTTCATTAGAGCAGTCATGCTGTGTCTCTCCCTCTAACAGAAATACAAACAGGCGAGAGGTAACACCAAAACACTACTGCTAAGCCAGGAAATCTCGAAGGTGAGGTTATGACAAGAGAGGGGAACGCCCAGCGTGTTCCTCCTCGTGGGTTCTCTGAATAAAAAGATCCATTGCCAGGCCTGCAATTTAAGAGATGACTGTCAAGTAATTGAACCAGC